CTCTCCCCCCATCCCCTCTCCCCTCCCCACCTCCGTAACCCGCCGCAAACGGGCGTTATGACAGAGCCGCTTCTCCGAGCCGCCGTGCTCGCCAGCGCCTGGCTGAGTCCGGCTCCGCGGAGACTGACTGCAACTGGGCGCCGTGTCACAGACACACGTCCGCCCGGACCTCGGTCCGGTCCGGTCCGGTCGGGTCCGGTCCGGTCCGGTCCGCTGAGTTTCCGCACCGGCGGTGCCGTGAGGCGCGGGGCTCACAGAGAAACCAGTCGTTTCTCTGTAAAAACAAAATAACAAAACAAACCGCCGTTTCTGCAGCAGGAGCAGGAAAGTGTGTTATAAGGGACTTGTCGAAGAAGAACGTGTTGTATCGTACATCATCATCGTGATCATGATCATGGTCATCATCACCCCTCGGTATTCGGAAGCTATACATTCCTTTGGTGAGGAGGTACTATAGGACCTGAATCCACCCCCCTCCTTCCCAACACACACACACACCCCTAAGATATTAATGGTGCCGTTTCCACCTTCGCACCGTTCCGCCATTCCGGTCTGCACCCCGCTGCTGCCGCGCGCGGGGCTGGGGGACACCGAGCGGGGCGACAGCGGGGTTCAGGGGTGCCGGGAGAGGGTGTGTGTGTGTGTGTGCGTGCGTGCGGCGGGGATGTCGACAGTTGTGTTAACCGGGATGAACCGGGAACCGTGGCTGGGTGTATCGGGGTTGTGAGTCAGTGAGTGAAATTATGTGACCCGCAATCCGTACTATAATGGTAATAATAATAATAATAATAATAATAATAATAATAATAATAATAATGCCCTTTTCATTCCGTAACGTGACGTTACGTGTGTGTCGCCCCGGCCAATCCTAAATGCGGTATGAATATTAGTATCCGGGAATTTACATAGTGTGTGTCTTTGTGTGTAACTATATATAAATACACACACACACACGTATGACGACACTAATCATCTTCCTCGCATTTCGTTCTCCCCAGAACCCGCATACAGCTGGTGTTTGACGTTAGTCCGGCTCACCGCCTTTGTCACGTTGACAAAATAAATATCCTGGCGGAAAACGCCTCGTCTGTTTTCCGTGCTCCGCACGGCGTGCAGATGCCCCCTGTTTGGATGGGGGCAGGTTTTATTCGCCACAGCGGGCAGCGCTATGAATTCGCGTCCTGGGCGCTGCGAAGCGTCGTTTCGGCCAGCGACCCCGCCATCAGGCGCTCTGCGGCTCGGGCAGCGGTGCCGAGTCCCCCTCTCTCCCTCTCTCCCTCTCCCTCTCTCTCTCTCTCGGCTATGGCGGTGCTGTGGTGCGGCACACGGCAGAGAGGCAGTTCTGCACCTCGCTGAATCACTGAACCGGGGAGTCCGTGTGGTCGCTCCCCCCACGTCTCCCTCATAGCCCGGGTCTCGGACCTCGCTACGGGACGACGCGTATTATGTGCTTTTATAAAAAAAACCCAACAAAAAGTCCGCGTCGCCCTTATTCTCGACGTTCATACAAACATAGTATATGAGTCTAGGCACTGGGACGGGATATTATGGGTTGTTTTAGATCGTTTTACTTTCAGCTGTCGCCAAACGGTCGCCCAGGCAACCTTCGCCATAAACCCAGGCTTATCAGAAGGCGCACCGGGGGTGATTCCGCATGGCAGCGTCTGGCCGAGGCGGCCTGACTTTCCCCGAGCGGGTCCGGCTGCACCTCGGGCGTGTGCGTGTGCGTGTGCGTGTGTGTGCGCGCCTGCGAGAGAGAGAGAGGGGGTCTGTGATCGCCGCTCACTGCAGTGCAATTCCTCCGTCGATTCGCCTCTCATTGATCAGAAGAGGGGAGGAGGGAGAGAGGAGGGGTTATATGAAAGAGAAACGGCCTCTCCATTCACCACCCCGCTTCTCCGCGGCTCTCTCTCTCTCCCCCCCCCCCTTTTTTTTGGGGCTCGGGGAGCAGATGATTCAAGGCGGAGTTTTAGTCACAGTCTCCGCTACCGCGCCGTGTTCCCGATGCGTCTAAAACCGCATCACGAGAACCGCCGCGACTGGTGTTAAGTGCGGAGGAGATCGGACTGTCATCAGGCTGTTGCCTGGTTAAAGCCAGAAATGATCTCGCCGCTCGCGTGCGCGCGATGGGCAGAATACACGCGGAAGAAAAATCGTTACTAATTGAAATGCTAGTTTATATTAACACTGTAGTCTGCATCAGCTCGATATTGCACCTCTGACATTCAGCTGCAGGGGATTATGGTGAAGTTGTTTTATTAAGCAGCTGCTTCTGAAGTCAATGAATTTCTGTTGTACGTTAGGAAAGCCCCCTACGGTAACTATAGACAACTATTCTACTGCACTGTAGCACTGTACTGGGACTGTAGCTCCTATTGTAACAGGACTGTTCTCCTGTACTGGGACTGTAGCTCCTATTGTAACAGGACTGTTCTCCTGTACTGGGACTGTAGCTCCTATTGTAACAGACTGTTCTCCTGTACTGGACTGTAGCTCCTATTGTGACAGGACTGTTCTCCTGTACTGGACTGTAGCTCCTATTGTAACAGGACTGTTCTCCTGTACTGG